AGGGTAAAATTAAATTAGAATAAAAGGCACATGAATAAGACAGTGAGATAGTGTCATTTAAATTTTTATAAAACTTACAGACTTTAAAAAACTTATATAAAATAATTTATTATACAATAAAATAACTATGTGGTCTTGGGTTGTATTTCTATAAAACTGGTGAAGAATTTTTGAAAATATAACTAAAACTCCATCCTCAGAAAACATTCTATTGTACTACATGATTCATATTAGTAGTTTCTTGCTATTAAAAATTGTATCTGTACTCATAAAAGCAACTGCAAATCCAATAGTTGTGTATTTCATAATGGTTTTCTTATACTTACTGAAAAAAGTCAAGGGTTTACATCAACGATGTACAAACTTATACTCCTCCACTCTGCCCCTATAAATATATCACGTCTCCTTAGTGGGGCAATGAGAGTACCTCTGGCTTCAGACCCCCGGGCATTCTTTCTCTCAATAAACTTTCCTTTTTCTCTTAAAAAAATTTTACAATGCATTTGTTATAACTTTGATTTGATTGACTTGGCATGATTTTTTTTTTTTTTTTGAGAGAGATTTTCGCTATAGGGCACGTGCGCTCGCCAGACAGACAGAGAGAGACATAGAGATAGAAAGCGAGAAATCACCCCCCAGGGGGGATGGTCACGCCGCAATCCCTTCTCCTCCATTCTCCTCTCGGGATCGTGGGCACGCACGCACACGCGCCCGGCGTGAGTTTTAAGCCACCGGGTCCGGGACGCGAACCGCGGTCGACTACGTGGGAGTCCAGCGACATAGCCATTACGCCAACTGCTGGTTCCCGCATGATTTTACTCTTAGAGATCTAGTAAAAATATTTTTATCTTTAGATCAACACATGTTGCATTTCTTGCTAGTGTAATGGCAAAATCTTCATGTGTTTACTATAAGACTATGACATCAGCTAAATTTAACTTCTTTTTTTCAGAATTATTTTTTCTTTAATTTTATTTATTCATTCATTTATTTTAATTTGACCAGAGAGAAACACAGAGAAAAAGAGGGAAAGTGAGAAAGCAAGCCACGAGGTCTGGGACTCGAACCATGGTCAACCATGTGGGAGTGTCCAGTGCCTTAACCACCACACCACCTGCTGATTCCTAAATTTAACTACTAAAGCATTCATTTTCTCAACAAATTGAATAAGTATCAACATGTTTACTCATTAAATTCTAGTCAGTAAGCTCATGGAATATGAATTCCATTTTCAAGAAACTAAAATGAAATATAAATCTAGTGAGGAAAAATTATTATACAATGATACTCTTGTTACCAGAAAATTAAGTTCATCTGCTTCTACTCCTACTCATGGTCAATGAAACAAGAGGCAGAGGCTGGACAACAAAGGGGTTCATTTCTGCAACCAGGGTACAGGGAAGCAGCAAACACCCCCAAACTATCTCAAAAAAGTCTGCATGTACTCAGTATTTACAGACACGAGATACAAGCAGGTGTGAATCATTTCTGGATTCTCACTTGACCATTTCTCAGCTAGACCTCCCCATGACTCAGCACTTGGTCAGATACTTTCTTGTCAGGGGGTCTTTCTGAATTACAAATGGCTGTAGTACTACTAAACCTCAACTGGCCTGCTTCACTTTCATACAGAGCTAAAGTGGAAGAAAAAACAACACACGGGAGATGGAAAGGGAGGATCACATAATGGGAAGTAGACATAAAGTAGACAAACTGCAGTCAGAAAAGCAGCCTGTTTTAGCTACTTTAACATTTAGTTTGCTGTTCTCATATAATAGGTGGAAAAGAATTTCCTCTTTCTAATCTAAATACCAATAGTTTCCAGATAACAAATTAAAAAGTTGTTTTTGGGATATATGCAAATTATCATATATATTTAAAACATGTTCTCTCAATATAAGAAAAAAAAGCATAATATACTGTCAATTCACAAACACTGTACACTTGCCCAATAGACTCCACAAGTATTCTATCAACATTTTAGAAATGAAGCAAATTAATCATTGAAAAACAAACCTACTTCTTAAATATTACATGATGGGAGAGCTTAGGTTTTATTTGATGCTTTAGTGCAACTAATTATTTTCAGGTAGAAGGAAACATTTTAAAATATTACACTTTTTGTTTTGCAATTTATAAGACATTTTCCCCCAGTTATCATTAATTATGAAGTTTTTAACAAATGGAAGCATCCTTCTCTCTGTCTCTCTCCAGTGAGTGCTCACAACTTCTAGCAAAAAGAAAAAAATGAAAGAAATAAAATGTATTTGCCTTACGGATCTGGAGGCTAGGAAGTCCAAGATCATGGTGCTGACATCTGGCGAGAGTCTTGGTGTTGTTCCATCCCATAATAGGAGATGAAAGGGCAAGCAAGGGCCAGAGAGAGAACATGGGCTAAATTTATTCTTTTACGGAGAGCCCACCCCTCAATAACTAACTTCTCCCAGGAGAACAGCATTAATTACTGGTGAGAGCAGAGCCCTCATTATCTAATCACCTCTTAAAGGCCCCACCTCCCACTGCCGTTGATGGGGATTAAGTTTCCAACACAAGAACTTTGGGGGGCACATTAAAACCACAGCACCTCTTACATCTCATGACATAGAACAAAGAACTGATATCTTATTATCTTGATTTGTTTTTCCTCATCTCTTCTCTGAAATTTGTCCTGGCTCTCTTCACCCACTTTAGTCAATGTTAACGCTGATTTTTTTCTATAAAATCTACACCTGCTAGTATTATTGTGCACAACCCATGTACTGACATTGATTATTGGCATGAGCTCTTCAAATAGGATTTGTTTAAAATTAAATTATACACGGGACCAGAAGATGGCATAATGGTTATGTCACTGGACTCCCACATAGGACTGCAATTAGAATCTTGGACCTGGTGACTTAAAATTCATGCTGGGTGCATGTGTGTCATCCCCAAGATCCCAAGAGGAGAATGGAGAAGGGACTGCAGCATGGCCATCTCCCTTGGGGAGGGTGATTTCTGGTCTTCTGTCTCTCAGTCTATCTGATGAACACATGCACTCTATAGCGAAAATCTCTTTAAGAAAATTTAATTATACTAATAATTTCCAGTACATTTATTTAGTCCACTATTTCAAGTTCATATCTAGACAGTGTTGTATTTAGATCCTATAACATATAAACAAGTTTGAATTTAGCTTTAAATAAATGTAAAAAAATTTTTAAAAAGTAATAATATTCCATAGGTTTGTATTTTTCCAATAAAAGGCTATTTAGTTTATCAAATATAAAACAGTAGAGCCTCTCAGGTATACAATTAATTTTTGCATACCAGCTGTGCAAATTTTTGTAATTATACTTGAAATGATTTGTATTTCTCTTTTCATTTTTAGTAATACTTAACATATTCCACCAAAATCAAAGAAATTGTGTAGCAGCCGCATTCTAAAGAGGATGAGATTTTCCTAATATCAAAGTTGTTTAGTCATTTCTAATATACATTGGATTGTACATTTTATCTCTTATTTTCTAAAACTACTTAGGAGTAGCAAACTGATGAGGGAACAGTTTCATTAAGAAAACTGAATAAAATATTTTTATTATCTACAATAAAACTAAAACTAAAAATAAAAAAGCAGTATTTTAAATCTCAAATCATTTGTTTCCATGCCATTAAGCAATGCTTGTCAAACTTTATTGCATTCTCTCCCTCTGTTTCCGAGTTGATTATGTAAATGCTATCAATATTATAACGATTTTTCTCACTTCCACCTTGTTATTCTAAGTGAGTTTGTCAACAGCTCTATTCTCTTGGTGCCCACATGCCTTTTGATTATGGAAGCCAGCCACTAGATCTTTGGGATATTTTAGTAGAATAAGTAAAACTTAGGTTTCTTTTAAAAGAGCAATGATTAATAACATCTGATGATTTAAACTAATATAGCAGAAACTCAAAAAAGCAATTTGGGAAAATACGCATATATATTAAATACTACATCATAGCCCTATCAGAAATATGTCCTTATAACTATTTCTATTCAATAAATAAATTTCTAAAAGTAGAAGATAAAATGTCAGTCATTATAATGGCATTTAGAGTAAAAAATTCTCTCATTAATGTTACACACACACGCACAAAATAAAGGAAAAAAAAGAGAGAGAGATTGGATAATAAAATAATAAAAATGAAAGATAAAACCCCAGAAATTAGAGTGGTGTCATATCTTTTTATTTATATAAGGAGACTACTTTTCTAGCAGTTTTTTTTTTTAAAGGAGCATAAGGCAGAGGAGAACAAAAGGTAATAATAAACAGTATGCCAATTACAACAAACTCCTTTTTTTATTTTAAGAATTATTTTAATTAACTTTATTTATTTATTTTAACTTCTCTTGGTGCCCACATGCCTTTTGATTATGGAAGCCAGCCACTAGATCTTTGGGATATTTTAGTAGAATAAGTAAAACTTAGGTTTCTTTTAAAAGAGCAATGATTAATAACATCTGATGATTTAAACTAATATAGCAGAAACTCAAAAAAGCAATTTGGGAAAATACGCATATATATTAAATACTACATCATAGCCCTATCAGAAATATGTCCTTATAACTATTTCTATTCAATAAATAAATTTCTAAAAGTAGAAGATAAAATGTCAGTCATTATAATGGCATTTAGAGTAAAAAATTCTCTCATTAATGTTACACACACACGCACAAAATAAAGGAAAAAAAAGAGAGAGAGATTGGATAATAAAATAATAAAAATGAAAGATAAAACCCCAGAAATTAGAGTGGTGTCATATCTTTTTATTTATATAAGGAGACTACTTTTCTAGCAGTTTTTTTTTTAAAGGAGCATAAGGCAGAGGAGAACAAAAGGTAATAATAAACAGTATGCCAATTACAACAAACTCCTTTTTTTATTTTAAGAATTATTTTAATTAACTTTATTTATTTATTTTAACTTAACCAGAGAGGGAAATTTTTTTTAAGTGAGAAAGCAAGCTGCCAGGTCTGGGACTTGAACCATGGTCAACCATATGAGAGTTCAGAGCCCTTAACCACCATGCCACCTGTCAGCCCCCACAGCAAGCTCTTGAGAGAATGAACTTGGCTATCAGGATCTGCACATTTGGTAGAAGATATGTCCAATTATCTTTCACAATCTCTTTAGTGGTATCTAGAAAAAAGGACAATAGAGTACAAGTTATAAGGCAGAATTCTTATCCAATGCCAGCTAAATTACAACATCCCAAAGCAAGAGACTATGACTTACACATCTGCATTTATTTTAATGGCATTCATTCAGTGCCTTGCACTTAGCAGGCATTCAAACAAGTTGATTGTTTAATGGACACCAGAGTAATGGAAAGTTTACTTCTAAAAAAAAAAAGGATAGTAAAATAATTTTAGTGCTCTTATCATCTTAATGATAATTTAAGTATATTCTCACACAAAGAGGAAACATGATGTTATAGGCAGAGCTGAAATAATCATTAATGAATGCATCTTTAAATCCTGATCTTATCAATAATTTGACCATAGATAATTCACTTAAATTTTCTTGGCATCAATTTCTTTATATAGGGGAGGGAAAGGTTGTAAAGGCATAACGTCCTGTGCAATAATTTTTTTGTATTTATCCTATGCACATTGATGCCAACTATATTGGTTTTCTATTGCTGTATGACAAATTATCACAAACTTAATACCTTCAGACTATAGTCACAGTTTCTGGTAAGGATAAGGAGTCTGGGCCTAGCTTAGCTGGATTCTCTGCTCAGAGTCTCACTGGCCTAAAGTGAAGGCATTAGTCAGGCTGAGTTCTTATCTGATGCTTTACTAGGGAAGAGTCCCCTTTTAAGCATCTTCAGTTTTTGGTAAAAAGCAATTCCGTGTGGCTATAAAATTCATGGCAGCTCACTTTGTCACAGTAAACAATGAACAGAAAATGGTTTTGCTCTGTCAAGTCTCTAATTCCAAGAAAGGCCTAGACATTCTTTTAATGGGCTGGTCTGATTAGATCAAGCTCACCGGCAAATTTTTTGATTAATACAAAGTCAACTGATTAAAAGCCAACCTTAATTACCTATGTAAAAATCCCATCAGTTTTTCCATATAAAATAACAATCCTAGTGGTGATATCCCATCAACCTTGTTAAGCTCTATTTGTTAGAAGCAAATCACAGAATCCTTCCACCCTGTAGGGGAGGATGTTGAACTCAAACCGGGAGGCAGGGATCATGGAGTCCTCTTTAACCCTAAAGAGATTCACCACATCATCCCTATGTCAAGCACTGTGCTAAACTCTAAGATTAAAATATATGAGTAAGAATATAAACTTTTTTGAGGCTTTGCAATCTAGTTGAAGACCTAGGCAAGAATACATGTAGATTAATAACAATTACTGGTACCATGACGCAAGGAGTTTGAATGAGATTTCCTTTTGGCTGGGAACATGAGTGAGTGGGGAGGCAGTGATGAATTCTCAGAAAGTGAAATACCTGTGCTATATCTTGAAGTCTTGCTCATAGACAAGGTAGGCACATTTTCTAGATTTAAACAGTAGATGAAGAATGTTAGCTGTATGTGGGATGGCACATGGTTGTAGGTTAGGAAAACAAAGAGTATAATCGTTTTGTCTTTAGGGTAGTGACTGTGCCTGCACCTGTATAATATTTGCACAGATTAGTGTAGTGTTTTATGAATTGTGAACTCTTTGATGTCTAGATCTGTACCTTAAGTCAGATACAATCCTTCCCCAGCTGCCAGGACTTTTGGTTTCTGAAGACTCATAGCTGGGTCTAGAGAAATTACTTTCAGCCAAAAGGGAGATGAGCTACTTCTCCCCACATGGCCATTGCTGACAACAGCTTGTGTATAATGACTGGATGACCTGAGTACAAAAATCAGTAAAATACATATCAACTGAAGGCTAAGCATGACATAGTGTCTTTAAAGGTGGCTAGCATTTCTTTCAGGTTCTCTTGCAATGTGGTTTTGTTATTGATCATTGTCAAGAGATGTTATCTATTTTAAGTCACATTGAATATAGGATGACTTTGTGACAAGTTTTGACTAAGAAGGGGGCAGAGGTGATGTCCAGGTGATTACAAAAGCCATACCTTGAACTTCCTAACCTCACCATCAGTATTGTACTTAGTAAACTTGTACTGCCCTTACTCAAGATTCTAGGTCTAGTGGTCCCGGTTCCAGGGGAAAGTCATTCTATCAGGAACACAGAAACGTCCCATAAAACTGCAGGCTTTGGCTACTACCCAGTAACTGCATTGCATATGCCAAGAGATCAGGAAGAACATTACAATGCGATTAAGCTGTTGATTCCTAGTAGGGATAGTGACGTATACATCAGCACCCAGATAATCCAGTACTGTATCTCTTGGCATTCCCTCCAATAATTTTGCAAGTAAAGGAAGAGTATGGAGGTCAGGGTTCAGACCGCTTATGTTTGATGGGATAAGCCACTATGTACACAGAGGTGTGATGGGAGGTGAGGGGAATATAGGGCAGGTATTAAAGGAAGGATATGATGAATATAAATTGCAGTTTTGGGGGCTTTACATTTTTGTACTGACCTTCCAATTCTGTTTTTCCAGAATTAATAAAAAATCAAAATTCTAGTGAAACTGTTCCCAGTTTGACTGAATTTATTACATCCAGCAAACTGATCAAAGGTGCACAAAACTTGGAGTAAAAGTGGATGAGGTGCAGTCACCCAGCTTCCCTGGTAGTACTGAGGCACTGATTCTCCTAAGAGCTTGGAGAAAGGCTGCTGTTTACTCACAGATCAGCCTGTGGGAAAATTGACTGTCTTGCTCAAGGTTGCCTGGTCACTCCCATGGTAGCCAACACTCAATGACTATCAGTGTAGAAGCACAAAGCCCAGATACCCTTGTCTTGGTTCAGGACGTTATACATCACACCAGTTTAACCCCTCCTTTCACTCAGTCCTGGTTCCTTAATCTCTTTAGACATTTTTGTTTCTAAGATCCATCCTCATTAAATTTCTTCATGCAAATCTGTTTCAGAGTTTGTTTCTGGGGAACTCAATCTAAGAAAGAGCATTGAAGCATGGGGAGTCACAAGAAAATATTACCTTGTCTACTTAGTCAGGCAAGTTCCTAGAGGGCTTATACATCCTATTATTGAGGTTAAAAATTGAAGATCTCCTCTTTTTGTCCAAATGGTAATAATAAGGCAGTAAAGAAATAGACTGGCACACTCTCCCTTTTGTGGGCAAAGCTTCATCTCTCATGCTTTATATTCCCTTACTTTACATTTTCTTTTTCAGTATGTCTGGGAGAAAGTGTGGTCTGTTCAAGTCCCTTTAATTATTGAAATAGGATAAGTCACCTTCTCATTGCCACTCTTGTAGAGATTCACTGCTGAGGGGTTATTTCTGCACCAAGATCATCAGCTAGAGAGCATGGTTCATAATTACTCTTGGCACACTGTGAGCAATGTGGATAACTGATGAGTAAGGAAGCCACAGCCATAGTGCACTCAAGGGATGACAGTCTCCAAAGTGTGGCAGTGGGCCATTCTGGACATTTTGCTGATTAAGCAGATTAAGAACTGTGATCAAAATACATGTACAGTATAAATGCTCAGCATAAAATGTCAAGAGAAGTAATTACCCTTTTGTGATAAATAAGATGCATTTCAGTGACAATCAGATGACATGAATGGATTTATTTCAAATGTACTTGAAAAATTATAGAAAAGGTACAACCAAAACTTCATGTAAATATATGAACAAAGGTCTACTATAAACTGCTGAGGAAAAAGAAAATCTATTCTAAATGACACATAGAAATTTCATACTACCTTCTGTTAAAAAATAGTGCTCTTGGAGGTCATTATTTGAATGGCTTAGCTAAAATGGTAAATTCTTATTATCATCTTAGTGTGGCCAGTGATTGTGTAATTGACAGATAATGTGTGACACATGAAAAAAGTGAAAAGTGACGTGCAATTTGAAAGTTTGTGACCAAGAAAGGCTTAATGTTTCCCTCAGCCTCACTGAACTTTTACACTGTCTCCTTCTTGACTCTTGACCTTCACTTTCCTTTTCTTAGAGCATTTACTTTTTAAAACAATTTTCATTGTAAATTCTTAATGTGTCTCTTTGAAATGTAAATCTTCTTAAAAGATTCTTGCCAAGTTTGCAACCTAGGAGTTTCTTTCACAAGTACCTTTGGGCCATCCTGTTGAAATGTACTTATCAAGTAAGAGCCCTTATTGCCTAGTCTCTGTGCGAGGTGAGTCTAACTTGGTGGTTGCCTTGTTCCAAGTTTTAAAACTACCTGTTGTCATGAATATAAAAGAGAGTTTACTTTTCGTTTGGATAAAGAAAATTACCAAACACAGATGGCCTATGATCTCCCCACCCTAGCTTTTAAAAACAACTTTCTGAAACTTCAACTTTCAGAGAAGTTGAACTCAAACTAAGGTTTCATCATTGTCTCCTATTGAAATACCAGAGCCCTTAAAAAGTTTGTGTAATAATAAAATTAAGTATGAGTTTATTTTGGTGCAAAGTTTTTAAAATATTTGTGCAGAGTTTTTTTTTTTTTTGGAATATGAATTTCCATAGACTTGAAAATGCTGTATTGCCTTTGTTGTAGAAAACCAGATGCAGAGGAATGGAAAGCAGCACTCGGAGCAATTAGGATAACTGTATATTATGTCAGCGGGCACAGAGGAGTTAGCACACTGAATTCTCTGGCCCTGAGTGGGGGGTGGATGTGGTCTTTGATGGGGGAATTGGGGAAGAGGAGGTCTCTGGGTGGGGATTGGGCTCAGATCCCATCCTACAAAGCATCAAAGGGAGGAGTCAGAGAAGCAGGAAGTATAATCTAATCAAGGTACCAACCCATTCAAGGTAGTAATCTATTCAAAGTATTAATATATTTAAGGTACTAATCTACCCAAGGTTTTCAGGTCACCCTGTAGCTCCAGGGAGGGGTAGTAAGTTTGCCGTTTGTGGAAGGGCAGAAACTTTAGATAGCTATCAGCCCTGAATTATTAGTCACAGGAATTTAACAGTTTATAATGGAGTCTCTCCTCCAAAATGTAGTCTCGCCTGCTTCACCTTGTATGAAATCTTTCTTGCTTATTTAAATGTGGTGCTTTTTAAAAATTTGAATGAGATCAAACAATATCTAAAATTTATGCTGAAATACTGCAATAGCAACTCTTTGTTTCTTTGTTTTTTTTTTTTTTCTCCTTTTTTAAATTTTATTTCATCTTGCTAGAGAGCAGGAGCGCTTGTCTGAGAAGGGAAAGTGAGAAAACATCCCCAGGGGAGTTGGCCACACTGCAATCCCTTTCTCCCCATTCTCATGTCAGGATTTCAGATGTGAACACACAAACACCCAGCACCATTTTCAAACCACTAGGTCCGGGACTCAAACTGTGCAGCCAGCATGTACAATCCAGCTGCCTTAACCACTGTGACACTGGCTGCCACTCCATTTTTTTTTTCATAAATTAAAAATAATTGGCAGATTTGTGTTTTATATCAATCAGTACCTAGCAATTATTTTGCAATTTTTCTTATAATCAGAACTAAGAAGTAGGTAGCAGCTTGGATATAGACATCACTGAAATTCAGCTTCCTCCAAAGAGACATAAAGATTCCAAGGATGATGTCTGTCTCAAGGATTGGTGTTTAAAACTACAGACCATCCCTTGGGATCAGCAGTTAGAGTAATGGCTATGTCGCTGGACTCCCATGTAGTCGACCACGGTTCGTGTCCTAAATCCACTGGCTTAAAACTCACACCAGGTGCATGTGTATGCATGCCCAAGATCCTGAGAGGAGAATGGAGGAGAAGGAACTGTAGCGTGGCCATCCCCCCTGGGGGGTGATTTCTCGCTGTCTCTCTGTTTCTCTCTCTCTGGCGAGCTCACGCACCCTATGGCAAAAACCTCTAAAAGAAAACAAAACAAAACAAAACAAAGAAAACAAACTACAGGCCATCCCTGAATTCTGTTAAGATTTAAATACCTTTATAAGTATAGGTGAATTTCCTGATGGAATTTTTTACCAATCAGCTAGTGCGATTATTACAGGTGCCAAAAATTTGCCTGTTTAAGATTCTTCTATCCATGTCTGTAATATTAATTTTCTTTTAACATCAGAGCTGTATTGAAATGTTTCATGATACAACATCATTGGTTGGGTCATGGAATGGTCTTTTTCTCTCTTTTCCATCAATAGGGAGGTTGTAAATGAATTCTAAACATCTCTAATTTTTCTTTAGTAGTTACTAGGCACCATGAATTTAACTGTGCAATATGGGAAAAATCAAGGATCTTCTTTGTACCTATAGCCTGAATTTACCTGATATGTTTGAGATGTCCAATGTTGTTCTGTGATTGTGAAATTGTTTAATTAAGTGGTTCTTAAACTTCAGCAAGTTACAGATCCCTTGAAAATGTAATGAAGTCACAGAATCTCTTTCCTATCACATTACATGGTCACAAAATATTAGGGGATTCAGAATACTCATTCCTTCATCCCAGGAAAATATCTATAACACAACCTTCTTGAGACTGAGTAAGATTAAATAAACTTTTAGATTAGACTGTTAATTAATTTCAGCATTAGGACTAAGAGGTCAGCTTCTGACTCCTAAACTGTGCACTTTGTAATTCCACAACTTCTACAATAAGTTCAAATATTGATTTTCTTATTTTAAAATCTTCATGAGGCCACAAGATTTGTAGGATTTAATATATATTGTTATGACTTCATAGCCAGGGAATGAAATATTATCAGTCTCTATTCTTTTTGTCCAGAATCCTAACTCTCCATGGCTCCTACTTAAATGATGCTTCCTCCATATTCTTTCATCATAATTATTTTTTAGAGAGATTTTTACCATACGGCACGTGTACTTGCCAACAAGACAGACAGACAGAAAGCAAGAACTCACCTCCACCTGGGAGTGGAGGGTAGTCACACTGCTATCCCCTCACCTCCATTCTCTTCTCAGGATCTTAGACACACTCCAACATGTTCCCAGTGTGAGTTTCAAGTCCCTGGGTCTGAGACCCTAACCCTGGCGGACAATCTTGGAGTCCAACGACATAACCATCCTGCCACCTGCTGGTCTCTCATCATTATTATTTTTAACTGACAAAGGGCATTTGCAATCACCAGACAAAGAGAGAGAGAGAGAGAAAGCAATCCTCTACCCCAGTGGGGTGTGGTTATGCCACAATCCTATCTCCTCCACTTCTCCATTCTGCGAGGACTTGGGACACATGTGCCCAGCACTTTTCAAATCACTGGGATCAGTACCTCCCATAACCACTAGACTATGGGGCCACCCCCCTCCATTTTCTTCATTATTTTGGGTTTTCTTCTCTGACCACCATAGTACTTATTTCCTAGGTCTACATGAGACTTGGGTTTGACATCCAATAATTCACAAACAGATGGATACAGATAGCAATTATTTTTAAAAAACAATTTGCATTACATTTTTAGAAACATATAAAAATTGAAAATTTAAAAAATCAAACAAAGAATTGGAAAAGTCTTGTTATAATTTAGATTGCAATATTTTGAGACTTATCTTTTTTTCTTTTAAATGTGATTTTCTGAAAATACTTTTAAATGAATAGTGCCACAGATTTCATTAGCCCCTGCCACTACTCTTCTAAGAGATAACTTCTACTTTGAATTCTTAAGTTTTCTGGGAAGTACTAGCATTTTTCCCTCCAACTAAAAATTTTAATCATTTTATTTATTTTTAGTTTGTGATCATTAGATGTGCTCAGTAGGGAAAATCAAGAGTAAAGAAAAAATTATGTATTTTTTTGTTATGTATGTTTTCTCTCTCTCTTTTGAAATGAGACCTATATGCTGGAAAGAATCAGCATGCAAAACTCTAAGACTTAGCCAGTTGATTGGATAAATGTTGATCTGATGAAATCAATGGGTGAGATCCACAAAACCAGCAGATGGCATAATGGTTATGTTGCTGGACTCGCACGTAATTGACCAGTGTTCAAGTCTCAGACCGGCAGCTTAAAACTCATGCTGTGTATGTGTGTGCCCAAATCCTGAGAGGAGAAGGGATTGTGGCATGGTCATCCCTCCTGGTGGCATGGCATGGCCATCCTTCCTCCCAATTTTTTACTTTCTATCTCTCTGGTGAGCTCAAGCACCCTGTAACAAAAATCTCTCTAAAACAAACAAACAAACAAACAAACAAATAAAAAACAAAAGAACACAGAACAAAACTTCTAAATACTTGACTTTGGTCCTCTATTCTTTAAGGCAGGATAATTAGCTATTAAATTTACATTGTATTTCAAATAACTTTCTATATTAATAATAAAAAAACTGAAATAGTCAATATTCATTAGGTTACCTCCTGATGAAATCAGTTTTATTATATCAGGAAAATTTAACTTAACCCAGAAAATTTAATCAACAGTTACCTAAGAGAAAAAACAAAAGGGTGAAATCATTGATCAAACATTATTTGCTTAAAGAGTTGTATAGAAAAACACTAAAGATGTATGACCATTGGGATATTTTGAATTTAACATTAATGTGTTGCTTGAATTCATTTCCATTGTGGAGCCTAACTTACATGGATTAAAGACACAGAGAAGATTTAGAAGCAGGCAAGCCACACTACCTGAATGTTTTTTGTTTTTTTGTTTTTTGAGTTCAGATATCTAATTGGGATTTCTGAAAATGAAATATTTGTTCAGAGGGGTGATGAATCATGGAGTCTACACATCTATAACACAAAGCCAAAGCAAACAAGTGAAGAAAAATGAATTATAATTCAAGACCTAGGATAGTGAACTTATTTTCTACTAGGCCAATGGCCATATAAATAATGCAACTTAAACCTTAAATATGCAACCACTCCAAGCATTACTCTTTTTTTTTTTTTGGATAGGTTTCTGCTATAGGGAGCATGCACTCGCCAGACAGACAGAGAGACAGAAAGCGAGAAATCACCCCCTAGGGGGGATGGTCACGCCGCAATCCCTTCTCCTCCATTCTTCTCTCGGGATCTTGGGCACACAGGCACACGCACCCGGCTTGAGTTTAAGCCTCTGGGTCCAGGACTCGAACCACGGTCGACTATGTGGGAGTCCAGCGACATAGCCATTACACTAACTGCTGGTCCCACCAAGCATTACTCTTAATAGTTTAAATGCCAATAATTATTTTTGTTCATAATCTGCAATTTAGGAAGTACTTGATAGGTATGACTTGCCTCTGTTTCACAGGGGGTCAAATGAGCAACACAAAAGCAGAGGCTTAAGTTAAATGAAAACTCACTCATCACATGTCTGACAGTTGATGCTGATATGGTCCAAATATCTGGAGACTGAAACAACTAGAGCTTCTTGGACAATTCAATCTTTCTGTGATTTCAATACACCGCATCTCTAACATGGAAGCTTCAGGAAACCAGTCTTCTTCCATGGTGGCCCAGTGTTCCCACAGAGCTGGTTTTGAAAGAAAAAGTCATATGGAAGGTATATTACCATTTTAAACCCAGCCTTGGAAGTGAGCAGTAACATAGCATTAGCTCTTTTGTAGTGTATCTTTCTTTAAATTTTTTTAATTAATTAATTTTATGTTCATTCACTGTATATCATTACACTATACAAAATGAATTTTCCTATCCAGAATATACTGTATATTGGCTCAACCAAAGATATTACCATACATGTTAGACTCCTCAGCTCTCAATGGAGGAATATTAATGTATTTCAAAAATATTTAGGATAGGATACAGATTGATGAAGTAATCTTTGGAAAACACAATCTCTCTATAAATGATAAAGGCTACTTGCTTTAGTTCTTTTTTTTTTTTTAACTATGCCAGAAGTTAAGATTTTCATTGACTCATTATTGTAATTTATCAGCATACAAAGAACTTAATCAAGTATAATATTTACGATTCTTACATAATGTACATTTTAGAATAGCTATGTAGCTTTCTTTTCATATTTATTTAATATCACAATGTTCTCACTTGGAGAGAACATAGCAATTAAAAAAAATAACCATTAGCTTCTACCAGGTACTGTGATAAATGCATTAGGTTCAGCATCTCAGATTTGCAGATTAGAAAACAAGTATCTGGTAAGGCAGATAGTTTTCCAAAGGTCTACAGTGAATACACACTTTGAATTCATATTTGGCTACTGAGTAACTGCTCTTAATAGCTCTACTGCACTGGTCCTTCATTTTAAGGAAAGAGATTTCAGAAATAAGGCGATTTACTCAATCATAGAGTTCCATAGCCATTGACCTGGGATTAGTGTCTAAAATTACTGAATCACTGTCTACACCAGGCTGTTTCTAATGAGTTAACTAGGAGTAAGAAACCTTGACGGTTTACTTGTAAGAATTTTTTAAAAGGTGACATAATATTTAAATGAATCTGAGTAGGGCCAGAGTTTACTCTGGTTAATAAGCTGGGCAGGCTGCCAAATCCCGATGATCAATTCCCTTGATGGAAATACCTACAAAATTGCTCTTATTACAGACTCATAGAAACTGTGCCAATGCATGATAATACACCCGTGTTACCTCCAGATGGTGCCCTCAGCCTTCAAGAAAGTACTCAGATGCCCCCCTCCACCTCCCACCCCAGCTAGTGAATAAAGTCAGTGCTAAGCAGACACTCTTGACCATTTTTTATTCTTCTGACCTTCTTTTCTGACTCATTTCAGCTCTGTAAGTCCTTTCAAATCTTTATTTTCTTTCTTGAAAATTGAATTTCAATTAAAAGAAAGAAAACTTCAACTCTATGTTAAACATTATAACAGTTTCAAAACAACCATTGAGATGAAAGATTTAGCTTTTTTTTTTTTCAAATGAAACAACAGTGTTGAGTTGAATTATCAAATATCATATGTAGAGGGCAGGTTTTTTGTTTCTTTGTGTTTTTACCTGAGGACACACAAGCTAACCAGAGAGAGACAGAGAGAGGGAGAAAGCACTCCTACAATAGGCATGGTTAGGCTACAACCCCTTCTCAATTTGTCCACTCTGTTAAGATTTAGGGCACACATGCACATGTGCCCTGCATGATTTTAAAGCCAGCAGGCTGTGGACTCGAATCTCAGCCTGGGATCTAGCTCTCTTAACCATTGGCCTAAGGGATCAGTCAGAGGATGAATTTTTAACTTGAGACTTTGGCATTTTTTTCATTCTCCTATTTTTCTCCCTTTATGTAGAATGAATACATTTTAATTTTTCTAGGAAAGTACTGATTTAAACCTGTTGTCCTATTTTTATTGTAACTGTGGGTTCTTTTTTCTTCAAAAATCTCAATTTGAATGATGAAGTTATCCTTTCTTAGAGCCTCTGGTAAACCAACCAGAGTCCCCCAACCCCATGATATTATTTTGTTTAATCACCTCTAATTGGGTGGAATACTTTTCTATCTGCAAAGAAAATTTAGGCATCATTGTATTTATGTTTGTGAGTACACATACACAAATTTCTTTTAGAATTTGTGAATATTTCCATCATCTTATAACTTGAAAAGTTGGAGACCAAGACATCCTCAATTCCTGAGATCCAGTTTGAACCATAAATGAATTTAATTTATAGCATAGCTGAGAAGTCCATAGAAAGAGGTCTAATGGTGGCACCTTTACAAATAGACCATCAATGTCTGTAGCACATATTCTACATATTCTGTGTGTGTGTCCATCTGTCTGTCTCTTATCCTCACTTTTCTTCTATCAGTTGCTTGCACTTTTCTCTATGTAAGACTTTTTCTTCTCAAGAAGCCTTCACTGGTGACAAGTCTCTTGCCCATAAATAATATGACTCTTTTCTAATAATACTAACCAAAAGTAAAGATGATTCTTATTGAGATGATTTGAGCCACCTATTCATTTCAGAACCAATCATGCTGACTATGAGCAGAGATCTTCAAAATTTGCCAGGTTCATCATCGTATGTTCATTCTTAGCTGTATAAAGTGATATTATTTCTAACCCCGAACACAAATAGAGAACAGAAGAGTAAAACTTCCTTAGAGGAAGATAAGGATGATGAACCAGGAATTGATTCTGGAAAACAAAACATCCAGCTGTGTACTAATCTGCTTGTTTGCTCAAATTTTTAAAAAATGTAAAGTAGGACGAAGTTAGTGTGATTAGGAGAGTGTTACTTTCCACAAAGGAAAAAATTAGCTTCTGTTAGAGTCAGTTATATATTTTTTTGAGAGGTTTTTTTGCTATAGGGCGCGTGCACTCGACAGACAGACAGAAAGAGACAGAGAGACAGAAAGTGAGAAATCGCCCCCGGGGCGGGGGGTATGGCCATGCTGCAATCCCTTCTCCTCCATTCTCCTCTTGGGATCTTGGGCATGCACGCACATGCGCCTGGCGTGAGTTTTAAGCCACTGGGTCCAGGACATGAACCGCGGTAGACTACATGGGTGTCCAGCGACATAGCCATTACACTAACTGCTGGTTCCAGAGTCAGTTATATTTTAAAAACAATGATATTGGGACCAGCAGATGGCATAACAATTACGTCATTGGACTTCTGCATGTCCAATCGTGGTATGAGTCTTGGACCCAGTGGCTTGAAACATGCTGGGCATGTGTGCGTGTGTGCCCAAAATCCCAAGAGGAGAATGAAGACAGGATTGTAGTGTGTGGGGAGTCACCCTTCTGGGGGGTGATTTCTCACTTCCTGTCTCTCTGTGTCTCTGGTGAGCACACACACCTTATAGCAAAAATCTCTCTTAAAGAATGTATTTCCATTCATTTTTAGATTTATGGTAATATCTTTGTGATGACACTTATGCTAAAAACCTAGCACCTGGCTCTCCAACTTTGGACACACTTTGTATTCTTTTTTGGACATGATTTCATCATCATTCTCTGACTCTGAGGACCAAGGCTTTGACCAAGAGATACTACTTTTCTGATTTGTTTTGTGGGTTATATATAAATCAGGCCAGATCTTCTTATGTTGGATACCAAATTCAGAATTGCATGTTCACTAAAGGCTGAGCCCTCTTATTCTTTTCTCATCTGTACCCTGATCAATCAGCTTCTTAGGCAGTGCATCGCACATAGCAGGCAAAGAGCACACATCGTAGAGTGGTACATATCTGTTCTTATACTATGGCAAGCTGTCTTAATAAAAGAAGATGCAGTACCCTAGAGACAGTGTTTTATTTAACAACAACAAAAAATACCGTGGCACCAAGAATTCAGATGATTTCTTCTAGAGAAATAAATTTTAAAACTTGAATCATCTTGATTTGTTTATGATAAAAAAATGTATTGAAGGCCTCCATTGTGTCAGCTGTGGATTAGCTATCAGTAGTTATCAAGAATCCCAGGTCTCAGAGAACAGACTGTCTACCGAGGAACATGAACACAGTAAACCAACTTGTGCCTGGAAAATTTTCTTAATCAGAAGTGGACACTGGATTTATGCCAGGAACTTTATAAAAATATACACTTATGAATGTGGTCCCTAAAAATTGGGGAGGCTTGGAATTGGACCTGAGTAGGACAGAATTGTAAGATGTTTCTCAACAGATTTTGCAGGTATGGATCTTTAAAGTCTGGGTATGATGTTTAATGTTCCAAGATCCCCTGAACCATTTCCAACTCCACATCTCTGAGTAAATACATGGGTGTTGGAAAAGTCATAACTTTTTTTTACGGTTTCTTATGCAAAAACGTATCATGACTTTTCCAACAACCCAACATAATGCTTCACTCAAACGTGGGCTCCTTGAGTAATGATGTAAATAGAGGTTAAGATGTATTGGTGAAAATTGCATTCAGTGTCATTCTCACTCTTCCCAGAGTGACAGATACTGTCTGAGATCCCCTGGGATTCATGGAATATTGACTGTGGAGATGAAATACAGAAATCTGTGTAGGTGAAGAAGAGTGGCATTTAACTCTTCTATTTTGTTATATTGAGAGCCAATCCATGAGGTTTATTTTTGTTGTAGTTTAAAATTCTGATCTAATATACATCTCTACTGTAATTGAGAACATATGGCTATTCATATGTTAGTCAAGGAACTATTGTGAAACTCATTAAAAGAACACCATTGTACAGGAAAATTATGAAAATCTGTCATTAGAACTCAAATTTCTTCCTCCTCTTTTTTCCCTTTTTTACTTAAAAGTGGCAGTAATCCAACTGAAACAAAAAGGAATGTACTAATTCATGTAACTCAGAACATCCAGGATTAAGGGAAGCAATATAGTCTTTCTTGCTGTGGGAGAAAATGACCAGGTCAGTTACTAGTTTGCACTATTATAATTTAGCAAATTCAGAGAGAGAGAGAGAGAGAGAGAGAGAGAGAGTCTTATCAATTCAGTATACATAACTCTGAAAGATATTTGTCGATTGTGCCAAAAGCTCAATCCTTGGAACAGTTTACCATGGTCAATGGGGTAAGCCACTGTGCTCTACTAGAATGACATGGAATGTGTGTTGA